GGGGGGGGGGGTCGTGGAGCGGTGTCGGTCGGAAGATCACCATTTTGAGACGCACTTGAGTAGCCGTAGCCTACACTACACTCTTTCTTTGTTGGTCAATCGGCTTTGATTGCCCTCTGCCCAACTGGTACTGCGACACACTTCGCTGACCCCCCCCCCCACGTCAAGCCTGACTTATTACACCTCTGTACAGGAAACAGACTAGTAATAACGACTAGTAGATAAGCATTAGTTTGGTAAATATATTGTAAGTGTAAGTTGGAAGGCTAAAAGTGAGCAGGCCCTGCCTATTGATCAAACCACTTAAACTTTAAAAGACTCTTGGATGGATGGATAAATCGGATTATGACCCTGAGTCTGAGGTATTCAAAAGTTCGTAATTCTTTTTATGATTTACCTGCAGTGACACGCCATCTATCAGTTTTTTTTACTATTACCAATTAATGTAATTTGTAGAGCTTTAAAGTATTACTCAAACATTTTTTTTTTTAAATCGACCTTTATAAAGATTTTATATGTATTATATGATGTCATAATGAAGAAGCAAAATATGTGTATGTTTGTATAGTTTACCTTTAGTCATCTTAAGTCAGCAGTTCCCTAAATTTTTGACTCGCGTAGCCCATTTTCTGAATCAATTTCTATGGGCATGTATCTCTCGGGCCTAGCCTCTGTCTTCTTTTCTTCTTTTTTCATGGAGTTGTCGCGGAATCCCTGAGAAGTACCTACATCACTGACTTAGGTGTTTGATGTTAATTAAATCTGAAAATTTAAAAAATAGCAAGAACTCAGTTTACTTATACCGGTAGTAAATTTGTACGCACTTTGACTTGAATTTTAAGAGGGGGGGGGGGAGAGAAATCCATTAAATAACGCCACGCAAATTTTGCTGACGCTGGACCCTCCCTCCCCCATGGTCACACAATTTAGACACTCATAATAGATCTTCACAATTAATTTACCTCCACAATTTGTGTCCTGAAACTGATGTGGCATCGGATAATTACGGGGTGTAAATGAAAATGTACAGGGTTTCTTTCAGCTATATCTCGGGGGGGGGGGCAGGGCTCCCCCGGGGAAAGCCAAGTGCCCCCCCCCGAGCAAACATGTCCAACGATAAATAAACTGGAACGGCGGGCACTGCCCCCCCCC